TTGCGGTGATAATTGTTGTGACAAATGGTTTGACAATAAGTTTTGACTTCACTTTCACTGGTTGTGTGAGAAAAGACCGCAAAGTGTTCACAAATACTGTGACTCTATATGTCGGGGGAGTGTGTGTTGTGTTGAGTGTGTTATTCAATAGCCGTCGCAATGCAAGGGGTCTCGCAGTCACAGCATTACTGTCACTGCATTTGTGTATTACTCTCGCATTGATTGCCAAAACACTTTAATACTCGACCCAAACGCCACACAAACGCCTCCTATCGGCAGCACTGCATACATACTGACCGTCGCTATGATCTCCCTCTGGATTTTTAGTACAAAATAAATTTCATGCGGCAAAGGCTTAACAATGGGAATGCTTAGGGCCAAAAGGGCATTTAGCACTGTATTACAAATGTCTACTCCACCAAAATGCACAATTGCCACTAGATTGGGATTTGCCTTTACCGTGCGATAGACGTAATGGTGCGCTAATGCTATAAGTATAGGCAGTGAGAACGCATTGCGCGCATCGACTGTACTCTCGTTTTTAAGCACTTTCTCACTCAATAGATGGCAACCAGTGCTCCATAAGTGCCATAAATATGTGAATTTAAATTATTTTGAAATAAATATGCGAATAATATACAGTAATAACTATTTAATGTAAAGTCATTTGTATATAAATTTAATTTATAAATATAATTACATTAATGACTTAAATTATCTAATAATTTTATTTTTGTTAAATTATTGTTAACGTATACAGTATATCATTTTATTAAATTTTATTTTTTAACCTAGAGCATACATTAGTTTGATTAAACTTAATAAATTAAATGTTTATAAGTTTTTATGTAACATATTATATTATGTGATAACTTATGGACATTCAATTAACACCACTTTTGGTGTATTTTATCCACACTAATTTGTGTCCAGGACAATCATAAATTTAATACATATAAATTAACATAACTAAAAATTCAACAAAATTATCAAACCTATTATTAATAAACTTGATAACTTACAGGTTTACTAGTCATACTGTATATAACATGTAAGCCATTATAATAAAAATAAACATGTTCAGAATTTAAATTTAATTTATTAATCCTGCTAAATTAGCAAAATAAAATACCTCTCAAAGTGTTTGTATCAATAATCACGTCCGCAAACATATATTGTATATTTATATATTATAATGTTTTTGCTTTTAAACTAATTATCTAGTAACATATTAAATTTATAAAAATTTTAGTAACTAACAAATTATTGTGTTTTAATAATTTTATTTTATTATTTGTTCATTATCTTAAAAAATTGATTATGTCATTCAATATTACATGTATTGCAAATAACACATAAAGCAATATACAAACAAATAAGTTATATATCAAAAAATAAACAGATCTATATAGATTAAATATAATAAATAGGAAAATAATTATTTTAGAATTTTTAGAAGTTATACTAATTTAAATATTTTTAAAATTATAAAGATATTTATACTATATTCTGTAGCTAATTTTATATTAAATATAATAACAAATTTTGTTATTAGTTATTTTATATAAATTATTATTTTTAAAAATGACACAAAACTTATTGTATAGTAGCATTGCATAAACATAAAATATACCGGTAATATTTTTAAAACACTTCAATTATCCAGGTGTGTATGAATCATTATTATCATCATACAATTGTTAGTCCCTATTTAAAAACATTCTGATAATTATAGGTACTATATCAAATAAAAATAACAAAATCAGGTAGCTACACTATTATGTTTTAAAATACTATTGTAAACTATGATCATACGATGTAATCATGCCATAATTTTGATGATATTGTAGTAGTTTTTAAATATTTATTAAATAAAAAAAACTAGCATGTGTGTTTTAATAAATAAAAATATTCATGTGGTAACCCTTACAAAATGCGTATGTACACATTTTGCATAAATAGCACCGCGCTAGTCATTATAGCTAACATAGTCAATAGTCCCAGACAATTAAACAATTTAACCACTATTAAACTTTGCATTAAAATTGAATCATGAATAACAAGGTATTTTATATGTTCATAGTATGCCTACTGGTGGTGACCATCACTGTCGATGTGCACGCTGATGACCATGGTGGTGATGTCCGGGATAATGTGGTCCACAAAAGAAGTATAACGACTAAGAGACCCAACCGTAATGTGCGAGGTATAGGGAGTGGGAATGGGACCGATGATGAGGGCCTGGAGGGTGGGGAGAAACCCAATGATCTTAGAAAATGAGATTATCAGCGAATATTACACCAGGGACAAGTATATTGTAAAACATGTACCCGGTAGAGAATGTTTTGAAAATTTTTAATAATTTGTTTTATTATTGTTATAATAAATTATAAATTAATATAACAATGTCGATTATAAATTAGTATAAATGTTTGAAATGTTTGTAAATGATTTTGAGTATTTATGTTAACGTTAATAAATTGTATTTAAAATTAATTTTTTTGCTTGTTCATTCCCGAGTAATGTATTGTGGAAATTTATGCATGTTATTTTTTAAAATTTTTAGTCTAAATTATTTTTTAAGTTATCGATTAAAGTTAACTAAAGCTAATCTGTACCGGCACAATCACTAATTACTTATATAGAAATATATTTCGTGATTATTATTTTAAGCTATAATTTGATGTTATTTTTAAACTTTCTGTCTAAATAAAATGAATATTTTAAAAAAATATTTGCTATATGTTTGTACAGTAAATACTAACATAATAGCGTACATTACATTACTTATGAAACCAATACTCTATTATGTTAAACTATTATCATTAGACAATTTCTGGTCACCTTGTAAAAACATTATGATAATTATGTTACTATATTAAATAAATTAACAAAATTAGATTACAACTGCATTATGTATTAATAGTAGAAAATATTATAAACTATAATCATACGATGTAAGCATATGTATTATTTTAAAATAACCTTACAACAAAATAGCTAGCATATGTGATATAAATTATATAATAAACAAATATTTAAGTGGTACGCATACATAATCTAGATATAATAATTTTTATAAAAATATCATCTCGCAAATATCAGCTCAATTATTGATTACGTTACTCTATTGGACACACATTTCATGGCTATTAATGGAGCTATAATTTAACGTGATTTCTATTATTATACTTAATATTTAATTGAAACAATTATTTTATAAATGATTTTCCATATGTTTGTAAAGTAAAAAACTAACACAATAGTAGACATTACTTTATGAAAACAATACATATAAATAAAAATAAACATATAAATATTTAATTATAAAACTTATAAAAGTTAAAATAAAATAATTATTTTCTATATATAATATAAAATCATTCAGAACTACTGTATATAAAATAATTACAAACTTATTAATTAAAAATTGATATTAAACCTTTGATTATTTTAAAGTAAAATATATTATTGTTTATTTAATTTATAACCATACTCATACAATATAGATAAACCGGATGACCATGCCACAGTCTCTGTGGTTGGTATTAATATAAATATAATGCTATAACACCGAAATATAGTATGAAATGCATTAAGATAATTAATAAACATCCGCATATTATTATTTTTATTGTATAACAATCAATAGACAAAATATATGATCCTGGTGTTATAGCATTATATTTATATTAATACCAACCACAGAGACTGTGGCATGGTTATCCGGTTTATCTATATTGTATGAGTATGGTTATAAATTAAATAAACAATAATATATTTTACTTTGAAATAATTTGGTATTAATATAAATATAATGCTATAACACCAGGATCATATATTTTGTCTATTGATTGTTATACAATAAAAATAATAATATGCGGATGTTTATTAATTATCTTAATGCATTTCATACTATATTTCATATTTCACCTTTTAGGTGTAATTAATAAAATAGGTATAAATATCAGCAAGATATTGTAATACAAATTATAATAAATAAATATTTATACGAGTCAATAAAATTAATAAAAAATTTAATCAACATGAATAAAATAATTATTTTGTGTATATTATTTGGTAAGTCTCTCTCTCTCTCTCTCTCTCTAAAACAAAATTAAAAATATATTATATTTTTTAGGTACAGTCGGTGTCTACTGTAATATTACTACAGAACGACCGGTGCGTCAGGATTTACTGGACAGAGGCAACCAACTTGTCGTAAACGCGCAGACATTTGCTCAACAGTTATATGAGAAAGGCAAAACCGACCAGTCCAGTGATGTCAGCCTTAAAAGTGACCAAGTTAAGGTAGATATTGGCAAATATCTTGATTTAATTCATACGATTTATCGGGATAAATATGAGCAACAATTGCAGCTTGATATAAACATTTTACATTCCACCATGATCAAGTATGATTATCATGATCCCCCACAATAAAATTAATTGTATAGTTAATTGTTTTGAATAAACATTTGCTATTGTAATGCCAGTATAAATATAAATTTAATTTATTTCTAATATAATAAAATAAATTTTATAAAACAAATTACATTTTATTAAAATTGATACTGCACGGTTATATTCGTATATAACACTATTTATGTTACATTTAGATATAAGCTTAAAAAGCTGAAATATCTGCATGCTCACTATTAAAGATTAGATAAGCGTAAATATGGTCCACAATTAGTATTATAATTTCATATTACCTTGTGTTTATTAAATTAAGCTAGATACTAAGCTAACATATAATACTACTTGTATAATTTTTGTTATTATAATTTATAATATCTATTATAAGAAAGTAATAATTGTGCAATGTATAAATGTTAACACTGATTTAAATTAACTATTTGTTTTAATGCAATTTAATAATGTTGCTTATTAATATAAGTTCAATATTAATGTTTTTGCTTGTGTACCCATAATACACAGTTAATACAGTTTTTAATTCACCTACGTCACACAACAGCATGTCCTGGAGCCTATGACTTAAATCCTTAATTTTAATACAAGTATTTATTTTAATATTTAACATACCTAAATTGTATTTATTATTTTGATTAAATTTTATCATATTTAATATAAAAATAATATGTCAAACCTTATATTTATTTTTATTAATACCAATATTTATCTATATACTGATAATATTATTTCACGTTTTCAAGTATTTATGAATTAAGTAGACTAATAGATAAAATTTAAAAAATAAATGATATATAAACACTTAAACAATATAATTAACTGGTAATTGAAAAGTATATATTTTTCAAATAAAAACATTTTTAAAAATAAACTCAACATGAATAAAATAATAATTTTATGTTTTATATTTTGTAAGTCTCTCTCTCTCTCTCTCTATAATTAAATAAAAAATTATTTTTATTTTTAGGTACAGCCGCTGTATATTGTAATGCCGTACGGGATGACCCGGTTCGTCAGGACTTACTCGATATAAGCAAACTAATGGTCGAAGGGGGCAAAGCATTTGCCGAGGAGTTAAAGGAGAAAGGTCAAACTGCGGCATCGACCGACGTGAGTGTGAAATGTGACCAGGTCAGTCTGGATCGGGACAGGTACATACTGGAGATTCATAGTGTTGATCGGAAAAAGTACGAAGTTCAATTAGAGGGTGATATTCATGTTCTAAATGCTACCCTGATCAAATATGATTATTATGACCCACCAATGTAATCACACATATACATTGTCGTATAATTAATTATGATTTAATGTTGTTTATTTATGAGCATGTAACTCTTATTTTTGTTAAATAAATAATTTATATTTTATTTTATTTTATATGTTTGTAATAAATAATATAAATAATTATGTCAATAAATGTTTATTTAAATTTCATTAGAAAATAGATAAACATCTCTAATAGTACACATTAGTATTTAAATGTAAATATAATTGTTAATATTATATTTAAAATTAATTTAAAAAACACAAAATTCATTTGAACAAAATAAACTAAAATATTATTTTTAATTTAATAAAACATAGAAATGATAATTGTTAAAGTTCATGGTCATATCTAATATATAAAAACAGTTGTGTAGCAATAGTACCTACTTAAGTTCATGTTATGATAATACGAAATACCTAATTTAAACTCAACTTGATCTACTAATAATACTATTGGGAAACATAAGGTAGCTAAATTACAACAGTGTTTAAGTAAATATTTAAAATTATCATACCAAAAATTAATTTTATCTAAATGTGCAATTACAAACTAACCCCATAATATGAACTATATCCGTAAACAACATGATTAACCAAGTGGAATTTTTATTAGTTATATTCTGGTAGATATTTATTACACAAAAGTACCCATAAGTATAGGTATTAATCAAATCATTAAAAATTAGTTTTGTCAAGTCTACATGAACATGCTACTGTTATAGTGTAAATGTGTTGTACCAGGATCAGGATACAAATGATTGATAATATATCTAGATTATTACAATCGCTATGTAATTTTAAAGATTTTATTAATAATGTTGTGCCATTACAGTTAAATCAGTTAAATAGTTTTTAAATGTCACTGATAAGTAGTGTTGCCAACTCTAAAAATGTCCACCCTGAAGATTTACATAAATTCAACCCCAATATCCTGGAGAATCCTGGAGGAATAGTTTATTAATTTAAATTAACAGAAAATAATTATCTATGAAGTTTCTAATGTATTAATTCAAAACAAGTGAATTTATATAAATTAAATTAATTGTAATTTAATTATAATGTAATGAAAATTCATTTTAAATAATAAATTGTTTACTAAATTAAACCGTTTAAAATTTTAATTATTATAAAAAACTATAGTAAAACTATAAAATAGTTTTTATGCTATAATTTGTTATATTGAATGATTTTAAAGCGTGAAATTAATTGATTTTTATTACTCGGACTACATTATGTTCTGTTTATATTATTTTAACCATACTATTGAATTATTATTAAATATTTGTTAACATTACTATATTATCAATAATCTTATTATTTAATAAAATATTATTTTTAGGTCTAAAATAATCAATTAATGTTTCATTAAAACTATTAGTTATTTAGTTTAGCTCTTTAGTAAATTTAGTTAGTTTACAGTATCAAAAGTAACTCTATTTATTATACAAAATTGATAGAATCTTATAAGAATCATGTATTTGGAGTTTAAAATTGTTATGAATTTTTCCTGGAGGTCCCCATATCCAGGCCATACCTTAAACTGAAGTCTGAGTTGAACCCCACATTCCTGGAGACTTCAGGCAAAAACTGGAGGGTTGGCAACACTACTGATAAGTGTAGATTATTCTTCAGTCTATATATTAATAACAAAATTGATAAATAAAGTGCACTATATAAACAGTTAAAACTAAGCAAAAAATAATAACATAATATCAACATGAATAAAATAATAATTTTTTCTTTATTTGCTTGTAAGTAAAATTACTCTCTCTCTCTCTCTCTCTCTCTCTCTCTCTTAAAAATTATTTTAAAAATTTTATTATTTTTAGTTACAGTCGGTGTGTACTGTAATACCACTACGAGTCCGGTACGTCAGGATTTAATTGATGATGGTAGTCGCCTGGTTGAGAAAGCAAAACTATTTGCGCTACACCTAAATGACCAAGGCAAACCAGACGAGTCTACTATTGTCAGGTTGGCGGCTGATCAGGTGACACTGGATGTGGACAGGTATTTAGCAGAAATTCATACAGTGTACCGGGATAAATATGAGAAACAATTGGAGGCTGATACTATAAGTCTGCACGAAACTATGGTCAAGTATGGTTATCAAGATAGTCACCTACCTACCACCCCACATTAAATATTTTTTATATAAAGTTTATGTATTATATGTATTAGTTGTTAAACTATTTACTGCGTATTAATTTTGTACCTATTAAATAAAATTATTGTAAAATAATAAAACCTAATAATAAGTATGCTATATATGTTATATTTTTAAAAAAATCCTAACCTAGATACATGATTCAAATTGAATTTTAAATTTATTTTTAAATGTTGTTAATAACTATCCAAAGTAGAATTACACAAAAATTAATTTAATATAAAATCATCCAGGTATTATGTTCTCATATGCACATTTTATGACTTTTATTAATTATGTAAGTATTAATATAAAAATAATAATATATAAAATTATATTAAATTATAAAATAATAAATAATTATAACTAATAATATAGTATTAAAAATAATTTCAGTAATTTAAAATAATTTATTATTTATAATTCTTTTATTTATTAATATATTACTACAGTCTTTGAAAATAGGTTAATAGTAATGACTTATATTCTAGGTAAAAAGTATTCTACAATAAATATTGTGTTACATTTGTATTTCCAACGTAGATGATACTAGATAAATTAAATTCAAAATTTGGTATCAGTTTAAGTTTTTTAAGTTTCATTATTTTTAAATTAGAATATTTATTATAATGAAATTATAAATATAAAAACTTACACTGGTCATTAGCTGCTACAACATTGTCCTAGAAAGCAATAGGTACCAGGTGGACAAGGTATTTCAGCAGGTACTGAACAACGTACCAACGGTATGTCATTTAAATCATCATGCAGAATTATACCATTTACTATGGCAAGCAATATAAACAGGGTTAAATACAATTTACGCAACATATCAATTTTGTTATAATAATTGTCTTGATAAGTATACTTATTTATATAAGGTTGTTTAACAGGATTCAAATTTTTGTTTACTCATGGTACTTATTTATACAAGTCATATATTTTTGCTAGTACTGTATAAGTAAATACAATTATTAATCACTGATTAAAAATAGTTTAGTTTTCAAAATAATAGACATTAAATTTAATTTTCATAAAATAAAATACAGTTTGAAAACAGTAATATTAGACATAGGAGATATAATTATAACAATTTCCCTGGTATAATATATTTTATGTAATGCCTTAAAATATTGAGATTTAAAATATTAGTAACAAGTACAATTACTAATGCTTTTAATTTAACAATGTGTCCTTTGGAGGACAAATGTATAGTCTAAACCTTAAAGTAATATTATTGATAATTATTAGATTAAAATATAATAATTGATAATGAATCTAACTTATGATAAGTAATGTAACTATGATAATTATTTACACATGCCAAAATTGTTGATATACTGGTATGTGCATATTTCTAGACATATTGCTAAATGTTAAGCTAAAAAACTTAAATTTTAAATCATTAAAAAATATTATAAAAATAAATGATTAAATTTAAACTATTTTGAGCGTGTTAATTTTTACCCCAGAAAATTAATTTAATTATTTTAAAGATTCTAAATTATAATTTATCATTTAATCAATCATACAATTAATAGTTATTGACTATACAATAATATAATAACAATAATACTCTACTTTTAAATATAAATACAGAGTTTGACATTTAAGATGGATCATTTAAGTGCATTTTAAGGTACTATATTGTAACGTAATTTTGTTAATCAGTAATTACTTATAACTTGTGATTTATTTATAAATGCTTATTTTATCCCCAGCATTGGCACGTTTATTATACAACAGGTTGATATAAAATAAACATGATATTAAACTCTGATTTAATATTACTCTAATAGCATTATAAAATATTAGCAAAGTAGAGTTTAATATACTTATTATGTTTTTGAATGATATAAATTGATAATGGCTATATCAGTATCTGTGCTTTTAATTCAAACTAAAACTAAAATGTCAAGTTCAAATAACTTTTATAAATAAATGCCATTACAGATAACATTGATTAATTACAAACTGTATTAAAATACACATGTAACAAATAAAATATAAAAAGTATTTATGTAGTCGGTGACATTTGTTAATTATTTATTACATTGTAAATACAAACTACCATGCATAAATCACTGCGATTTTTGTACTTGTTAAGGGTTGAGCCTTTTATGCTACTATTTTGTACTTTCTACTTTTTAAAACGTAATCCCCTTGATGTATTAATTCAAGATAAATTTTGTATTCAAAAATACAATATGACCAGGGACTATTGCAAGCACCTGGCTAAAATTGATTCCAAGGACGACATTAAGGGTAAAATATTGAGCGAGGTGGTCACGTTTCACTCGTACAACCAGTGGATACAATTGCCCCTGAGCATAGTTTGGTCACTATTTCTCGGCAGTTGGATAGATATCTACCCTAAAGGCCGAAAAGTAGTGCTTATTATCGGGTCGTTCACTATAGCACTGGAAGCGGCTATAAATGTGTTAAATTCGTATTATTTTGACTGGGGTAATTTTTATAAAAATTTAATTTTTACATTATAATTGTATAATTTATTTTCTAAACTTTAGTGTATAATATTAGCTAGTTATTACTTACATTTAATTAATTAAATTATTTAATTAGATGTAAATTGGATACTACTATCAATGGTACCGTACATATTATCAGGAGCAAGCACATTTTCTATAATGTACTCCTATGTGGGAGTGACCACGTCTAAACAATATAAAACTATTCGTATGATGATTATTGAAGTTTTATCTGACCTAGGTAAATATAAATGATAAGGGTTTACACATATTTTATAAAACCTTTATAATTTTAATATAGCCTCACCATTGGGAAGTTTTTTGAGCGGGCAACTAATTAACAAAACTCCTATTATTGGTGATAATCAATTAAACAACTACTGTTTCATATTTGTGTTAGTTTGTCTTGGTCAACTCGCGGCAGTAGTATGGGCTATATTTTTTATTAATCAAGAAAGTGACAAAAAGCAATTTGAAAAATACCTTAATGATGAAAACACTGATCAAGATAATAAAGTTGATCAAAAAGAGGATCTTGAAAATAATAAACTAGACAATGAAAATGAGCATGTTAAGAAACAGTCACCGATTAGGCTATTATTTAATCTGACAAATATTAAACTGATATTTATATCCGGGTTCAAGCGGCGTGAAAATAATATCAGGCTACATATATGGTTGGTAGTGTTATCGGACTTTTGCGCAAGGTTCGTGCGCGCTACATCGTCCA